CAAGTCGTGATATACAATATTATTGTTGAGATCTGGTTTATTCAAAGTCTGATAATGGACTATATCCTGTACAAAGGAATCGCTCAGGATCTCTCTCCTTCTGCCCCACTATCGCAATTCACCCAATCCCGAAAGAGTATTGTCGACGGGCCAATCGCAAGGCACAGTCAATCGTGTGCAGTAAGGGCGGGTGATCGGGGCGCCTCCAGCGATGAGGCGCGAAAACTAAACTGTGACCAGCTGTACTGTCGTCTGCTATCATCTGTGTAAATCGTATAGTTGTGTTAGTGTTTTTTACACATTAATGTTGTTACGAATGTATATACGAAATAAAATAGTAGTGAAACGCGAAGGCAACGGGTTGAATGGGGACGAGTGGCACATGCGCATTGCAGTCAAATGGATCTCTATACCTTTCTCTCTCGCACAGATGTTGGCTTCACAGTCAGCGACCTATTCCTTTTTCAATAGTATAAGGTGTAGTAAAAAGAAATCTATTATTTTTCCAATAGATGGCTTTAGTAATCTGTATCTCGTGTTGTATAAGTGCGATCGGGTTACGCCAAATGGCGTTAGAAAGATAAGATTTCGTACTAAAAAAACTTCTCAGACAGTTTTGTGATTGCTTGAGTCAGTATTGTTTGAGCGCGTGTCAAAGATGGACACCAACGAAGAGAAAATACGCCATATTTTACAGTTTTTCTTCGATAAAGGCGAAAACGCAAGCCAGGCGGCTGAAAATGTGAATAGTGTTTATGGTCCTGATACTGTCCTGAGACTGTCCTGAACAGTCAATATCGCGCAATTTTGGTTTCGTCGATTCCGTTCCGGTAATTTTGATGTCAAAGATGCACCACGCTCTGGAAGGCCAATTGGAAAATGTCGATAAAATAATGGAAATCGTCGAGTCCGACCGTCATGTAAGCACTGTTTCGATTGCCCAGGAGCTAAACATTGCACAAAAAACCGTTTGGAACCATTTAAATAAGGCTGGATACAAAAAGAAGCTCGATGTATGGGTGCCACAC